TGGTGCTGTTGCGCGCGCAGAGGTGTGTGTGTGTGTGTGTGTGTGTGTGTGGGGGGTGCTGTTGCTCCAGTAGAGGAGTGTGTGTGTGTGTGCGTGTGTGTGTGTGTGTGTGTGGGGTGCTGTTGCTCCAGTAGAGGTCGCTGCTCTCACTGTTTTGTGTTTTCATCCTAGCAGCACTTTTAGAGGAAGAAAGCGGCCGGACGGCTCACACACGCCGAGACCAACTCAAACCTCCAAAAACCACTTGAATTTATATTTTAGGTAAAGGATGAACACATGACAAGACGCATTTCACAATACTACGTTTCAAAATCGTTAGATACTAACGACTGCCACTGTTTTTAACGCGTTACTGGTCTGATTTTAGTAGTAGCTGTTAGCTTTAGCATCTCTGGGTTTGGTTCAGCGCGGGGTCAGCTAACGCTAACTAGTCGTTTAATGCTCAACATTAACATATGTATCGTCTGAAATGCGACACGGAAAGACAAGTGCTGCTGGCTTAAGCGTTAAAAATACTTGGGTGTGATTTTTATTAGGTGTGGTCTAGCATATAGCTGCGAGACCTCTGACAGGAGTGTGTGATTAGCTGATTAGTCAGTCATGGCGCTGGCTGATGGTGGTGCTGCAGTCAGTGTTTATGCTCCTTTAGCTCAGTGTCACGTTACTCTGTACCTGTATATATTTACATCTACATAACTAACGTGTTTGCTTGTCATTTCCGCATCGTTATTATCCCGAATATGTCCTGAACGCTCACTACCGAGGTTAGGTGAACTTATGGAGGAAAAGGGAAACGTGTCTTAATAGACAATAGTAGGACAGTCGGTCAGCTGAGCGCTGCTGGATTGCTGTCAGTGTGGTTTCATCTTGTTGCTATGAATTCTCAATATTTGGTTTGTTTCGACTGTTTATGGGTTAATGTGTCATTTTAAGCTTTGAATCATTTTTCTTCTTTCCAGAGCAAAAATGACGACTGCACCATATAACTATTCCTATATTTTCAAATATATCATTATTGGTAAGTGAGTAGTCTGTTTTCTACTGCGTGTGCGTTGCCTTATAGAACATACAATATGTTATATAAACGTTTCATAATATTTAATGCTTTCTTGGACATTTTGTTGTCTTTTTCATGTGTATGAACCATTTGGTGTCTTTATAGGTGACATGGGGGTTGGAAAGTCATGTTTACTCCACCAGTTCACAGAAAAGAAATGTAAGTGCTGAGAGTGGTATGAATTACGCTAAAACAAGGCAAAAGTGCATTTTGAGATACAGGCTAACACCACCTGCTAGTTTTATCACAATACTGGAATTAATCATTTTGATACAATAACTTGCAAAACATCAATATTCGATCCAATATCATTTTGATACCACAGGGAAAATTACCACAACATTAAGGGCATAAAATTTGAACAGTATCTAAGTTCATCTACTTGACCGTAATCATAACAAATACGTATTTTTTCTTATGAACTATTGTCTTGAGATTCCTCAGGCCCAATAGCTATTATTTAATAGTAATGATAATATATTATTCATTTATATGTATTATTATTTCCAAAACAGAAATATATTACTATTGTAATACAACTACACTAAAATAAATATTTAGAACGTGGTACTAACTAGGAACGTGCTGCAAACCCCCTACATCCAACTTCAACTGGGATGCACCTCGCTCTCCATCCTGCCTGCTTGCAGTCGCTGAGGAGTCCTTCATACTTGGAGAGCTTCCTTTCAAAAGCTTCTTCCAAGCGATCTTCCCAAGGGACGGTCACATGCAAACTCACATGCAGAGATGAAGTTCACAGCATTGACTGTGAATCGAGCCACTATACTACATTACACAACACTACCATATACAGTATATGTTATCCTTTTTATGTTGATTATTGGTTACAAACCTTTTGTCGTTATTTAAAATGAAAAGTCCTTTTATTTCGTCTAACATACGTTTTTTTTATTCACTCTTTTTAGTTATGGCCGACTGTCCTCATACAATTGGCGTTGAGTTTGGCACACGGATTATTGAAGTGAGTGGGCAGAAGGTGAAGCTTCAGATTTGGGACACTGCTGGACAGGAGAGATTCCGCGCCGTCACACGCAGCTACTACAGAGGAGCCGCAGGGGCCCTCATGGTGTATGACATCACCAGGTAGACCAGTATTCTGCTCTGATTGCATTGACATTACCTGTTTGATGTTACCTTTTGATTTGCGCTTATTATCATATTATTTTTTAAAAGTCACAACAAGGAACAAATGCGATTCGTGTTGTTTGCAGGCGAAGCACATACAACCACCTCAGCAGCTGGTTGACTGATGCCAGGAATCTCACCAACCCCAATACTGTAAGTTCCTTATTAGCTTCAGCAACAGTTCAAACTTGGTAAATGATGCCTTTACATTTCCATTTGAGTGAATGGAGTTGGAGCTCCATACATATTTTAACTGCAGATGTGGTTTGCACAAAGACCAAACTTGAGCCTGTGTAAGACAATCTGAATCTTTCCTCAGGTGATCATTCTAATTGGTAACAAAGCAGACCTAGAAGCCCAGCGTGATGTCACATATGAAGAGGCCAAGCAGTTTGCTGAAGAAAACGGTAAGGTGGTTGGTTAAGAAGAAAACACAAGTTAGAATATTCAAGGTCTTTTATTTGGGCAAGTGGTTTTTGTTAAAGGAATAGTTAACCAAAAAATGAAAATTTGCTAAAAACAACCAAGATGTAGGTGAGTTTGTTTCTTCATCTGAACAGATTTGGGGAAATTTAGCATTACATCACTTGCTCACCAGTGGATCCTCTGCAGTGAATGGGTGCCGTCAGAAGGAGAGTTCAAACAGCTGATAAAACATCACAATAATCCACACGACTCCATTTTATCAGTTAACACATTGTGAAGCGAAAAACTGCATGTTTGTAAGAAACAAATCCATCATTAAGGCTTTTTAAAATGTCAGTTCTGGCCAAAATACCAGTCCATAACCATCTCCTGTTGTACTCACAGCAAAATCCACAAACATACTGGTTTAGAACTGTTTTGGACTGTTTTCGCTTGTAAACAGTGATTGATCTGTGCATATTTCTCTACTGATTAAGACGAGACGACTTCTATTGGAGAAAGCAATGTTATAAATAGAGGACTTGTAGCAGGAAGCAATGGTTTAAAGTTAAGATGCCTTAATGATGGGTTATGTTTATTATAAACACTCATCGCTTTGCTTCACAAAACGTTCATTGATAAACTGGAGTCATTACATGTGGATTATGGTGATGTTTTTTATCAGCTGTTTAAACGCTCATTCTGGCGGCACCCATTCACTGCAAAGCAAGTTGGCAAGCAAGTGAAGTAATACAAAATTTCTCCAAATTTGTTCCGATGAAGAAACAAACATCTAGGGCGAGTAATTTTAAACAAATTTTCATTTTTGGGTGAACAGTTCCTTTAAACTGAACTGCTTTTAGATCAAAATGATGAAGCGGTTCACTGTACATTGTAGGACACTCCACGCTCACTTTCACATCTCCAATTTTTTTTTAAACAGGTTTGTTATTCCTCGAGGCAAGCGCAAAAACGTAAGTGGCCTTTAGACCATCTGCCGGCACAGCATACACTCTTCGTCTGTAGAATGTATTTCACATTTCAGTCCTCTATAACATCTCTGCAAATGTCCCTCCAACAGAGGCGAGAATGTGGAGGATGCATTCCTTGAAGCCGCAAAGAAGATCTACCAGAACATTCAGGACGGCAGCCTGGACCTGAATGCGGCCGAGTCAGGGGTCCAGCATAAGCCCACCGCTCCCCAGGGTGGCCGGCTCAGCAGTGACGCACAGCCCCAGAAGGAGGGCTGCAGCTGTTAATGACCATGAAGACTTCACTCTCTCTATATTTCTCTATTCTTTCTTCTCCCACATCCCACCTTTGCCTCCCTCTGTATCTAAAAGCCTCTCCCCTTCCGGTATGATTGCTCATGGAGTCTGGGGCCAGATGGCTCTGGAGGTGTAATGAAATTAATTCCCTCCTTACTGCTCTCTTCTTCCCTTCCTCCTCTTCTCCTGTCTTCCCTCAGTTGTTTTGCTTATTTCTCTTATGCACCCATCCCAGTGCTCCCAGGAAGCACTCGAGGGAGGACGGCTCCTCCGCTGAACACTAAACCTGAAGAGAGAAGATTATTGTCGATAAACTGAAGAAATGCTGGGTTTATCCTTTACAGACGTGATGTGCATAACCATAAACTAAACATCTCATGTACAGGAGCTGTCTGAATACTAGAGTAATGTAAATGAAACCGAAATATTGGCAGACGTTATTCGTGTTGACATGATGAAGTGATCAGCAGGATATGCATCAATATTGTAACATTTTGTTAAACATTCTAAAACTGAAATATTGCATTCTGTTTGAAATTAGTTTTTGCAGTTTCACATCCAATCACCAAATATTTATCCCTGTTTGTACCTATTCAGGAAATAATATACATGTACTATACAGGATTAGTATTGTTTTGAGAAGAATCTCAATGGAAGGTCCATTGTAAAAAAAAAAAATCAGTCGATTCAGACAGTTGTTTTAATTTAGTAACTGTTATAGTAATATATTGAAAAGGACGGGACACATTTTAGGTCCTGAAGAATGTTTTCCGCACTTTGCAGTTTTGATTCGGTTTTCCGAGGGCCAGGAGCTTGTTTTGTGTTACTGAGGTCTAAAGTCTTTCATACTATGAGGTTTCAGATCCCCTTCGGTCTGTTTGTGAGCATCTGTAAAAATTTCAACATCACAGTAGCTTAAGAAAAACAGACCGACAGGAGAATCATGTACCGAATGTTCAGGCCCAGCAAACCCTCATCATATCAAGATGTTCATACTGTTTTTACATCGATAATTTCAGTTGCCTTATATGCTTTTGTTCCCTCTGATGTGCTGCCCGGTTTTTTTCAAAACCCTCGTATAGCTTTTATCGAAAGAATTCCAGCAATTCACTTGTAATAGAGATTTTGCCTTTTCAAAAGCATTCCATTAAATTGATTTCCAAACACTGATCATGTTTTTGCACAGAGCTGAGTTTCTTAAAGGTTGCTTAAGCATGATGCATGATACAACTTGTTTTTTTACAGACATCATGGTTTCCCCTAATGGAGTTGTTAATATCTTAAAAGTTATGAATATGTAACAAATAGGCATGAGAAACATCATTGTGGGGAAACTCGGCCCAGATCTGATTAGCACAGCAATTTGAAAAAAGAACTTCAAACGGGCTGATGCGGCAACCAGCATCATGCAACATTTGCAATGAACATAAAAAGGCAAAAACAAGCACTCCAAAAGTGATTTTCTATTAAATTTGTGTATTGTAGATTTTAGACGTGTTGTTTTGTAAGCTGAAAATCCATTTTTAATTTGCGCCTACCGTCTTGCTTTTTTCACATCTTAATGACATCTGCAAAAATGAATCTTCTGCTCAGTTATGTCTTCTGTAAGTGACTTTTGTTTGTAATTATGTTAATAAAGACAATACTGTAGACTGTTTTTGTCCACATACACGATTGGTCGCACTGTATATGAGCAATAATGAGACGAGAAACTGGACAAGCATATATTGCACACTTAATTTAAGTTGTTTTTGATTTGAGACAAACTATATAAAGAGAAGTGCTGTAATAAATACTCTGCATATATTGGCTTTGAATACAAGGTCATTTTTGACAACAGTCATGTAAAAATGAACAATAATTCCAGAGCACGGCCTGTTTTTCTTTTTTTGCAATGACATGAGTGCATCAACGACATCACATGATGAAACCTTCCTCCATCTGTTTCACCTGTAAACACTCACGAGACATTGTCTATTTTAACATGAGCAAACGTTAAGAAGGCACATATCAGTTTGTGTTAAAAATAATTTCATAAAGCTACAAGAACAAATCAAGAGGTAGAGAATAAACTTTCACCATCTTATTTTTACCTCAAGTTTCAGTTTTCTTATTTGTGTATGGAAAGCGCTGATGCCAGCCTAGTTATCTGGCATAAAGAAGGTTGAAACACATCCAGCCTCTGCTCTAACTGAAGCAGGAAGTCACTGAGATGGTCTCGTGGATCTGGCTCAATGCTCTCTCTGTGCTTTTCTGGTTGATGCGGGTTTAATCAAACTGCTCCTCTGATAAGATCTGTACTCCTCTGTAACCACCTGCTTTCATAATCTGACAAATAATGGAAATGAGTTCCTTCTTTACATATGCTGCTTGGATACTTTTCTGATATTTCCTCATGTCAGTGAGGCTCAGTGGAGTATTGTTTCTGTTTTGGCAGAGCTTCCTAGTCACTCAAATAATAGGAGTCTTTGGAAGAGTTGCTGAGGAGCTGGTCCAGTTTGTCAACATGTCTGCGCAGACCCTGAATGCTGCCTTCAGTCTGCAGTCTGCGCTGACTCAGAGCTTCCTGCTGGGAGAACATGCGTCTGCGCAGTTGAACCTGGATAGCATGGACAGACACTCAGATTTCAAATCTTAGACAAAATATAATTCAATGTCTCAAAGTTCGTTAGCTTATCAAACGATCAAGATTTGGCTGTACCTTCAAGTGGTCCTCCTGCTGCCTCAGTCTCTCCCTCAGTGCTTCGCCTCGCCACTGTTCATCCTGTTTGTAGCAAAAGATCAACATTAGGACTGTTGACTGCATCTCAACTCCTGATGCATTAACGATATATGGTTTGCAAAAGTGCCAGGTTTGAAAATATATAAGCAGAAATAAGATATGAGCTGAAGAAATCTTCAAAACAAAGTCATATGAGCTACTTTTTGGTAATTTTTTATCTTTTTTCAGTGCTGTAAAATTAAGTAAATGTTACTTTAGAGCAGTGGTTGCCAACTTTTTTTTGACTCAAAGGCCACTGCAGTCCACAACAATGTTCAAAAGCCTAATTTTGTTTTCAAAACGTACTATAATCTATATATGAAAATAATTATTTAATTTCAATTATAATTATTCTACGGTTATTCTACAGTCATTAACAATATCCTGGATAATGAATTAGGATAAGGATTTAAAAATATATTTTTACGCGACTGCTACCTGATAAAATATTTTAAAGCTTGCCATAACTAGTAAAATGTGTATTCATTATAAAAAACAATGCCCATTGCATTTGAAGATTTTATGAATTTACCTGACTTTTCCAGGTCTAGAAATCACACTTTCAAAATGATGCTACTTCATACAGTATATCAAGGTTTTCCAAAAGAGTGGAAACCCTGGTTCTGCGAAGAAACATTAAATGAAAGCTGATTGTTCACCCAAAAATGAAAGTATGTTGGTAACCACAACAGTTTCAGTTCCATCTGGTTTCCATTGTATTTTTTGTCCATTCAACTGAAGTCAGTGACAACCGAAATGGTTTGGTTACCATCATTCTTCAAAATATCCCCAAAGTTTAGGTGAGTAATTTATGACAGAATTGTTGGGCTCTATCCCTTTAAGAAAGGTGAATTTAAATCATAAATATTTAGATTGTAGGATAAGGATTTAAAAATATATTTTTACGCGACTGCTACCTGATGAAATATTTTAAAGCTTGCCATAACTAGTAAAATGTGTATTCATTATAAAAAACAATGCCCATTGCATTTGAAGATTTTATGAATTTACCTGACTTTTCCAGGTCTAGAAATCACACTTTCAAAATGATGCTACTTCATACAGTATATCGAGGTTTTCCAAAAGAGTGGAAACCCTGGTTCTGCGAAGAAACATTAAATGAAAGCTGATTGTTCACCCAAAAATGAAAGTATGTTGGTAACCACAACAGTTTCAGTTCCATCTGGTTTCCATTGTATTTTTTGTCCATACAACTGAAGTCAGTGACAACCGAAATGGTTTGGTTACCATCATTCTTCAAAATATCCCCAAAGTTTAGGTGAGTAATTTATGACAGAATTGTTGGGCTCTATCCCTTTAAGAAAGGTGAATTTAAATCATAAATATTTAGATTTAGTGGTTTAGGTTAGTAGTTTTAACCTATTTTAGTGCTCGATTTGATTTATTTGAAATAATTTTCATAGTTGTCATCAAGACGGCCCCGGTCCCCTACATGAGAACCACTGCTTTACAGTAATCTGTGTATTTTTACACCCATACCTCCCATACTAAAACACTTGTTTAGGAGGTGCATATGGAAAGGCTCACCTTAGTGTTGTATGCTGGGTTCCCCACGGATAGTGTAACACCGGTATGGTTCTCTTTCTGGCTGTCTGTGTCTGAGGAGGCACTAGAGGGCGGCTCCAGCTCCTTCAGCCCACTGTCAAGCTCCACTTTCCCCTGTGACCTCACAGAGCGCACACTGTCCTTGATCTCACACAGCCGAGTGTTGCCCTCCTCTTGGCACTGCAACTGAGAGAGGCACATGACAGCCATTCATCTTCCTCATATTTACAGATTAGCACATGTGCTTCAAAAATGAGCCCAAACAAGTAGAACAAATATGTTTATCTGCAACAGATCTATTACAGCAAACAGATGTGGAGTTACAGTGCTATTTCCTGTTTGTACCTTGTCTCTGAGGCAGAGCAGCTCTTGGGAAATGGTTCTGAGCTGTTCCTGCAGCGTTCTGGCTTGTTTATGGTTTTCTTGAGCACCTTTTTCCACAGTCAGCAGGTCCCTTTGGAGCCGTACACGCTCCTGAAACAAGCTCAAGTTAGTCTGACGGCTATAAACCATAGCAAAGCACACAGCCGGAGTGTGACTTTGTAAAATAAAGGAATGTTGAAATAATAAAGTCAGCACAATATACCCAATCGTGACAGTATCATACTTACAGTCTAATTCTATTGGATTACTGCTTTATGAAATATGGCAGTCTCATTTCTTCAAATATTTTACAACCACTTGTTATAGTTGGCCAAGCAAGCCAATGCTGATAATCTTACAATTGCCAAATATCAGATAAATAACCTTTACAGTGTTGATATTATTAATTACATTTATATATCTAAAATAAAGCTGAAATAAAATAAAATATAAACTTTAGATGAAAAAATTAAACTTAAAAAAACTTGAAAAAATTAGAAATGTTGCATTGTCAACTAACTGAAATAAAATACGTTTACGTTGAAGTACTAAAATCAAATTAAAATTGAAATGAAACAATTAAAATAAGTTAAAACTGAAAAATTTATTAAGCTAGATAGAAATAACTAAAATGAAATATAATTAAATATAAGTTTTATAATTAAAACTAATACAAATGACAAAAGAACATAAAAAATTACTAAAATATTTACATTGAAGTAGTAAAATTACATAATTAAAAACTAAATAGAAATATAAAGAATTATTAAAATGATAAAAAAGAACATAAAATTATCACATAAAATTACTAAAACTTAAATTGAAAAGAAAACCAAAAATATAAAAATACACTAATTCAAAATATTAATAAATACTATAGCAGTATACAAATAATACTAAAGTAACACTGAAATAAACAGCATGAAGATATATCAGAAGATATTTTGAAGAATGATTTTGTGCATATAATGAAAGTACATGGGGTTTAAAACAACTTAAAAAAAAAGAAAAAGAAAAAAAAACCCTGAAGAAATTCTTTAAAATACTTTCCTTTATGTAGCACAGAAGAAATAAGTCATACAGGGTTGGAACAACATTTAATTTTGTGTGAACTATCCATTTAATACTGTTAATGCCCTTAATGCTGTAGCACTTATGCAACAGCTCTATGGTCCATTAAATTGGCAGTGTAGTAATTATGGATCAGTGTGCCAATCACCTTTTCCACTCCCTGCAGTTTTTGCCTGTTTGTGTGGCTGTGGTTGCTTTGGGCCTCCTGACGTCCCTGCTGCAGGTGATGGGTCTCCTCAACAGCATGCTGGAGTCTTGAGTCCCGCTCACACACCTCCTGCTCTAAACACATACTAACACTTCAGAACAACAAAGGCAAGCCGATCTGCATTTATCAGGCTAAATGTAAGGGAACACGTGGCAATGTTGCTCATGCAGCTCACCTAGTTTATCCACCTGCTCTTGTAGTGCAGTGCACTGTTTGCGCTCCCTCTGCAGGTCCATTTCTGCAGCTGCGACCTGCTCCATCTGGTCCAGCCTGAGGGGCAGAGCGCTCTCTACTGCCTGCAGCTGGGACTGCAACTTCTTCTGCCTCAGCCTGTGCTGCAGCTCCAGATCAGTGCTCTGCTGCTGCTGCATCCTCACCAGCTAAACACAGGACACAAATATGATGACCTCATTACCCTAAGACCCCCAGAAAATGACTTGAATTCAGGTAGCCCACATCATTCCTCGGACATAATGCTTTGACAAACTCAAAGTCTGCCACAGTGTCCCCAGTTCTTCAAAAACAGATCAAATGGGGACGTTACTGAGAGGGAAGAGAGTTACCCAAAAAAATGCAGCAAAATTCATTTTTTAGCTGCACTCCCTCAAAAGACCAACTACTGCTTTGGTCAATATAATCATAGACTATCACTGTACATATATTACAGTATTTTTCTTCATAATGGTAAAAAGTAGCAAAAAAGGCCTGCACACTACCAGTATTAAAAAAAGCAACCCTGAGATTAAAGCCACAGCTTTACTGTATGTAAATTATTGTATGTAAACACTATCATTCCAATAAAGTATTTTAAGATTGAAAATTGAGATTTTAAAAGAAAACCATAAAGGACTTTTAATAAAGGGTGAATAAATGATGACTTTTGGACTATGCCTTTAAGATCATTCATCATCCAGTTTCAAAGGATAAAGGATATGAAAAAATGTCTGTCAGATGACAGTGTGTCACTTCACCTTTTCATGTTCTTCAAGCTGTGTCTGTTTCATAACTACTTCTGCCTTGAGCTCCTGCAGCTGTTGACCCAGTCTGTCCAGCTTCTGTTGTCTCCTCCTGATCTTCTCCTCTTTCTCCTGCAGTTCGGCCTTTTGCTCCTTCTGTTGCTTCACAAGCTCTTCCCGCTGCCTTCTTGCAGCCTTCACCTCCTGACCACAAACAAAAAACACTTTTCATGCTACTGGACAGTAACCTCCAGTAGATCAGCAGCGTCTTGCTGTAAACTCACCTCTCTGATCTCATCTAACTGAGTTTGGGATTCCACCAGCTGTTTCTTCAATCTGCTCAACTCCTCTGTGGGTAAAAACAAGCATCTCAGTGTGTTGATCAAAATAAACACATAAGAGCTGATGTTAAAGTGAGACCGTTGAGCAGATACCCTCATGCTGCTGCTGCAAGGCTGCCATGTCTCTGCTGATCTCCTGATGCAGGTCGTGTGCGTTTTTCTGGTCCTGTTGTAGTTTGTCCAGCTCAGTCTGTAGTCTTAGCAGCTCTGTTTCTGCTGCCCTCGCCCTCGTCTCTGTTGCTTCCAAACACCTGCAACCACAGCAATACATTAATCCTATCAAGTCTAGATCATTTTAGAAGATTTAATCAGCAAATTTTTTTCACTGAAGTATGGCTGGACTGAAGTAGTGCTAGCATTAGCCTCAAAGAGTCAGAGGTTAAACCCTCATTCACTATTCCCTACATCAGTCCAATAATATAGTGCACTTGAAGGACTGAATGAAAACATGTGAGCAAATTCGGACACTTGGTGTGCCAGAAAGGCTGCCTCTTTTGTGTAGTTTGTGGTTGCAAGCACCAGTAGTAATGTAACAATCCCGAAATCTGTCATAGAAAGTAACTTGTATAAACCTTAATTAAACAATTTAATAATTAAGACCCAGGAACTAATTTTGCATGGCCCTAAAAGTGTATTATGGGTAGTCTCTATCCATTTAGTGTACATTGGACATACACTCAATGGCTACTTTGGTTACGGACACCACTACAATATGGTTGTCCCCTCAAAAAGTGCACTATATAAGAGTATTTCAACATGATGTCTAGTCTAGATTAACCAGATTTCCATCTGTATTTTTATGCATATTTACAGTATGAAAAAGAAATCACTTTTCTCAGAAGTGTCAATTTTGTTCTCTTGATGATTTATTGCCAAATTTTTGCTCATCCAGGATGTTTCTCTCCCCTAGGCCGAGACAAAATAATAATAATAATATGTGGGAAGGCATAGATGGAAGAGTTTTTGGTAAATTAAACTTTCATTTATTTTTTTAACTTGTATGAAAACAAAGCTATTGTTAATTATTCCGGCCAATAACTGATCACTTAGACAAGAAGGACCTGTAAATGACTGCTCAATGCAAAAATCAACCAACCACAATAAGATTTTATTTTTTTCAAGTCATATAGGAGCAGATGAACCACCAACAACAAAGTGGCAGCTCTATCAAATATTGACGCGGCAGTCTCGAAAGTCTCAAATGATTGTACAGACAATGCCAAAAAAACGTGAGAAAATCTTTTACATTTTCCATACGTTACCTCTGAGCGTGTGTCCGTCTGGCCTCCAGGTTTCTGCACTGTTCTTGCAGGGTGCTCCTCTCTTGGACTGCTGTGTCTGTTTGCTGCTGCAGGTCGAGGCTTTTCTGTTGGAGGGTGTGCAGCTCTGCTCTCTCTTTCTCCAGCAGGTTCATCTGACTCTCAGCCTCCCCACGCTGCTCCTGCAGCTCCTGCTGCACACGCTGCAGTTCCACACGCACCTGAGCAGCGGACACTCCAATGTTAACTTCACAACTTACTCCAGTCTCACATTAATCATCAGCACAGACAGTACAGGTAGAAGTTAAATGCTTAGGACTGACCTGCAGTAGAGTTTCCTGGCTCTTCTCTAGCTGGTCCAGTTTCTGGTTATGCTGAAGCTTCACACCCTCTAATTCCCCAATCTCCAACTGGACCATTTCCAACACATGCTTCAGCTCTAAATAAAAATTCCACACATCTGAACATTAATTAGGTGAACCACAATATTTCCCAAACTAATACTATTTGCAGATTTTTCCACTCGGCCAGCTTTCAAAAATAAGTTTGAAAAAGTTTGTTCAAAAAAGTCATTTCTGCACCACAAGCAGCATCTGTTTTGCAATCTTTTCTGCAGTAATCTTTTTACTTTTGCTTTACATTTTCACTGGACCCACCACAAAAGATACATTTTTATATTTTCAAAGGGATACATTTTTATATTTACAATGCATTTTTATATTTGCTAGAAATATTTGTAGATTTCTTTACAAAAATAAAATTAATTAAAAAAAACGATGAAAATTACAGAATATTCAGGTAAAATGTAACTACAAATTTTAAACTTAACTATAAATTTATTTTGTTGGTGGTAAACGACAGCCTATGATGCAAAAAATTACTTTGTTTGTAAGTTCTAACACATCTTACTGGTACAAACTGCAACATTTTTTTTTAGTTTTGACATAACCTCATTTCTATTATCCAGCAGATAACTAGGTTTCTTTATTTTAGTAAATCTAATTACATTGTCACTAATGTAGAATATACCACAGAAAACCAGACCAAAAAGAGCAACTAATGAATGTACACGATCAATAGATAATGGCAACAAACGACTGGCCCTCAGGGTAAAGTGACTGTTCCGGCAACTGGCCAGAAACCATCTCACGCCGGTCCCTGCTAACTGTTAAGCACAGTAATGGAAGTGAAACAGTAAAGAGGTTTCCAAAACAGCCCTTCTCTCTTTACACCTTTCATCTGCCACTCACACAATTGGTTGAGCCAGATGTTGACATGCCACTCTATTATAACAGACCTGCTTTATGTTTTTTGATGGCTGAATGGAGGTTCTGCAGGGTTTCCTCCTCCTTCTGCTGCTCTTTCTTATACTGTGCCAGTCTGGTTCTCCTCTCAGACAGCTGAGAGTCCAGCTCTCCCTTCTGCACAGCCAGAGACTGCACATCCACATGGAGCTCCTACACATATCCAGACCGTTCATAAGTATTCATCAAAAGTTCTTCCTAGATATTTAAACACTGCACTAATATTTTGTGCATGTGGAAACCTGAATGCGCTGGTGTAAGAGTTGGGCATCCTCCTCTCCCTGTCTGAGCACATCCAACAGGCCCTGCCTGTGTTTCTCCACACTAACTCTCATCACTTCCTCTTCCTTTGTCCACTGCTCCATCTTCCTGTCCAGCAAAGACAGCTCCTCCTGCTGCAACACCACCTATACCCCACACAAGATGCCCATAAAGTCTTTTTAGCAACACACTACCGTTCAAAAGTTTGGGGTCTCTTTTTTTGTAATGCTTACAATGGCTGCATTTATTTGATCACACATAAAACAGCAATATTGTGAAATATTACTGCTATTTAATATAAATAAATAACTGTTTTCTATTTAAGTATATTTTAAAATGTAATTTATTCCTGTGATGTTAAAGCTGAATTATCAGCATCATTACTCCAGTCTTCAGTGTCACATGATCCTTCAGAAATCATTCTCATATGCTGATTTGGGGCTTAATAAACATTTATTATTATTATTAAAGTTGTAAACAGTTGTGCTGCTTAATATTTTTGTGGAAACCGTGTTTAAAAAAAGTAAAAAAAACAACATTAATTTTAACCAAAGTAATTTGTTGCATTATAAATGTATTTACAATCTATTTAATCTTAATTGTTACCTGAGTGTTGACTTCATCCAGTTCTGTATTGCGTTGTGTCAGACAGTCTTCTGTCTCTCTGCAGCTCTGCAAGAGCTTCACCTCCAGGCTCTGGGTCTTTCTGAGCTCTTTCTCAGCAGTTTCCAGTCTATACAGAAGAGACAGACAGTTCAGTGGAGAGAAATTTCCTGCATTCAGTGATTTACTGTAATGATAGTTGTCACACCTGACAGTTGCTCTCTCCAGCTTTCTGTTGAGTTCTTGAAACTTTTCATCTTGACATGCGAGGACCTCCTCTACTTCATGTAGAGTGTGTTCTTGGCTCTGTTTTCTTTTCTGCAGCTCCTCAACCTCCTCTTGAAGATTCCTGCAGCAGCCTCAATTTTGGCTAATAGCTCCAGCTCAAACAAAACTCGATACACTCTCACAGAACAGCCTAAAATGCTGCTGTCATGCTTTATTTCAAAGTTGATTTCACCAAAAAGTGTGTACACTGTGGTGCTTTCAACACTGCTCTACCTTTTATCCTCAACAATGGCAGACGGAAAAATTGTTTGGTAAACATTTTCGAAACTGTCATTATTTTTGCAATTCTGTTGGATGCTGTATAAATTACACACAGCAGCTTTAAGGATTCAGACTGAGAAATGTGTTGCAGTTGTGTTTACCTGAGCTGTTGTTTGGTTTGCACCAGCTGTGTGGCACTGTCTTGAGCTCTCTGTTCCATCTCCACCAGCTCTCGTTCTGTCTCTTCCACTCGCCTCCTGGCCTCATTGTAGCGCTTCACGCTCTCTTTAGTCTGCAAACACACATGCATCACATCATTAGCATCTTCTTATAAGGTGATGTATATATTTAGGAAGACCAGTGTTGGGAAAGCTAACAGTAGTCAAGCTACTCTTTTAAGCTAATATAAATGTACACAAAATAATTAAACGAGGACAAAACAAATAAAAGCCTTAATTTAAATAATTTATATACTAATTCAAAAAACACTGTGATAAACAGCAATATTTAGCACGCAGGAAGTGATGACTGAATTATTATATACAGGTACATCTCAAAAAATTTGAATATCATGAAAAAGGTAGATATTTCTTGCCACTCATTTCAGAAAGTGAAACCCATATATTATATAGATTCATTACACAGAGTGAAATATTTCAAGCCTTTATTTCTTGAAATTTTGATGATTATGGCTTACAGATAATGAAAACCCAAAATTCAGTGTCTCAGAAAATTAGAATATTGTGAAAAAGTTCAATATCGGAGAGTCATGGTGTCACACCCTAATCAGCTAATTACCTCAAAATACCTGCAAAGGTTTCCTGAGCCTTTAAATGGTCTCTCAGTCTGGGTCAGTAGGCTACACAATCATGGGGAAGACTGCTGACTTGACAGATGTCCAGAAGACAGTCATTGACATGCTTCACAAGGAGGGTAAGCCACAAAAGTTCATTGCTAAAGAAGTTGTTTTTTCACAGAGTGCTGTATCCAAGCATATTCATAGAAAGTTGAGTGGATGGAAAAATGTGTGGTAGGAAAAGGTGCACCA